TAACTCTTTAAATTAGATATATTTTGAAGTGTTTTGCTTTTTGTTACTTGTATTACACTTGGAAATGTTTCAAAAGATAATTCTCTTTGCACCCAGAGATGAGATGCCCTGTGTGCTGTTGGCTACAGACTGGTGCCCTATAACTACACTGTCTTTCTGGGTCACCTAGGGCAGGGGTGGGCAACCTTTGGCACATGGTGTTGGGGCCTCATTGGCATTTGGCAGTGGAGTCTTTACCCACACTGTGCAACACTACACTGTGCTACGACCTGGCAGCGGGGAGCTTTCCCATATTGTAACAAAGCCAGGAGGCAAGGAGAAGTGGTAATGGCTTGACTATGGCAGCAGCCAGGTTTTAGCATTGATAGGACCCAGCCGGGTCATTCTGGCTTTTCACTGCCTAACCTTGCTAAGTGCTGGCTTAGGCTCATGCAGATCTTTGGGGGTGGGGGGAGTTGTTTTTGTTTTTTGTTTACTGTCCTATGCCTTTTTAAAACTGGTAAAGAGGAGCATTGCAGAACCTAAGATAACAGGTGCTGCTGCCAGAAAACACAGTAAAAGCCAAATTTTTGAAGGTGTTTAGGTGCCTTAATAGGCAGATAGGTACTTAATGGGATTTTTAGAAGTGGCAGCCAGGGGCCTATCTATTTCTTTAAGCACCTAAATATCTTTTAAAACCCATCCTTAAGAGAATAAAATGGACAGATCATACCCAGTTTAATATCATACTCCATCCCATGCACCTGCAAGGCAGTGTGCAGGATGTGCAATATTGCTTTATATGCTGGGATACCTGCCACACTGCTTCCATGTTATGGCTCAGTGCTGCAAGAAGGCATAATGTGTGATATATCTTTACATTTAATTTTAAATTAGGAAATATTCACTAAAGTTTTAAACAGTTTTTAGGCTGAATGTAATGAGTAATGTTATGATGAGTTGTATGAAGATGTGGAGTATCAAGAATGTTTATCAAAAGAACTTGGAGTGGCTGGAAAGTTTGTGTGTGATTGCATAAGAGACTGGGTGGAAGGAGAGAAGTGTTTTGATTGGAAGTTAATCTATCTGCTTCCTTTTATTGAGGGAACTGTATTTTCATTGATAACAAAATCATCCTAATGTTGTAGATTGGGGTAGGCAATCCCCAGCACACGTTCCAAGCATGTCACGCAAAGGCATTTTGCTTGATACGCTTGCCTCATGGTTGACAGTGGGAAGGGGGCTGGGGCTGCACTGTCACAACAAGGATCAGGTCTCTCGTGGCTCACCCAGCATCTTCCCTTGGCATACCAACATCTTACAAATTGAGGTTGCAGGCGTTTTTGGCACTCTGCACAAAAACATCACCAACCCCTGTTGCAGATGCAACTAAAAGTCAGTACAAAATTATGCAAGAATGTAAATGGAACAGCCAAATCCCTGTTTTTGAATAAGCTGTAGTTCTCAGAAGACAAGAACTTGTTTAAGTGATTCAAATTGATAACTAGATTCTGCCAACGTTTTCCCCGTCTGTTAGTAGTCATCCAGTATTCTGTGGTAGTTCAGGAAAGACAGAATGGTACTTGGTGTAGGTAGCTTGTTCTGAAGCAGTGTTGTGTCCTGCACGTTACTTTTGCATTCTGTACACTAAAGAACTGAATAAAATAGATACCTAGAACCAGGGCATAGATTTTACACCAAAGAATTTTTGGTGTAAAAATTTGCCTCCCTACCTTGTAACATACCTGGGACCTGGTGAGGACAGGAACCAGACAGAGCCCTGGAGCTTCAGTTTGGCTGTGCTGGGACTGCTCTATTCACTTCTGCACATGCCCAGGCTCCAGAGGCAGCCCCCAGTGAGCTTGTGCAAGGTTTATGCATGCAGTTTTTGCCACCCCCTTCGATTTGCTGCCTGGCCAGTTACCTCAGTTCTAACATGGTATAAATCAACCTTCTGTTGTTAATATATACCACTAGGAAGCTCCTGCCCACATAGTTCAATGCAGTAATGGGCACCTAAGTGTAGTATGCATTGTTCCTCTGTGACCATAGTTACCAGAATATGAATTGCTATAGTAAACGGTAAAGACAGCTTGGTCTTGATACCAGTAGTTACAGGAAATACAAGTACACGAGGACACATGAAACTTTAGCTGCCTCTTGAACCATAACTGATGCTGTTTGTCGTATTTCTGTTAGTTTTGTTCTGTATTTTTCCTTTATCACTTATAAGCCTACGAGAAATTAAGTGCCAGGTTTCAAGTTAGTATAGATCAGTAGTTCTCAATTTTAGACTTGATGCACCCTTCCATAATTTTCTGGAATTGAGTGGTGTCCCATTTTAAACTAATTTATTTCTTACTTATTTTCTCATACCCTGCAGCACTCTTAAAAGATTTCATAGAGTGGGCAGAAGTAGGCAGGACACCCCTGAAAAAAAGAAGGATTCACAGTGCTCAGTGCTGGCGGGAGATGCTTGGCAGGGTAGATTGGACCGCTTTGGGTTGGATCATTAAACTTGTGAAGGAGACACCTGTCCTTGTAGGTGGAAGTGGTGACAGTGGTGATGGGGTGACAGTAGTCACTGGAGGCATGGAGGCTGGTGCCAGGTAACAGCATCAGGGGCCCAGGACCCTGCCCCTGGTCTATACCTGAGGGAGTGAACACAGCCCCTGTGGCTATGGCTAGTCCTTTGGGAACTTGTATGCTGGTAACCAGAGCCACTATTCCATGCAGCCTCTTCTAACAGGTCCAAGAGCAGGGGAACTAGCCATGCTGAAAAAGCGCAGCCCTTTGTGCATCTGACTGTCTGCCCAGACACAGCAGAATATGCTGCTTGGAGTGCCAGGGCAGTCAGGGTAGAGGCTACCTGGAGCGGTGGGAGTCTGCCCTTTTTAGTTTTGCTTGTTTCCCCACTCCTTCCATGTCCTTCGAGCTGGTGAGAGGAGCCACGTGGAATGGTTTGCCAGGGGCACTTCTTGTCCATAGTATGTTGGGGTTGGATGCAGGGTGCTGGAGTATAGAAGAGCCAGTGCTTATCTCCTTGGACAAGGGCCAGGCTCTGCTGTATCCTTCAAAGGTAACCCAGTTTAGAATCACTGGTATATAAAGAGATACTTGTTTAATTTATTTTATATTGCTAAAAAACATAAATAAAGTTTCTCTCTAAATAGTTTGTAATGGACTGTAATGTAAAATCCTGAAAGTGCTAAACACTCTAAAAGAGGACATAGTATGCACATAAGTGGTACTCTTACAGACAGAAAATGAAGATGCTTCTTTGGCCTATGTGGTAAAGATGCTGCTTTTGGATTCAGAAGTCCTCAGACAGTTCTTAACAAGGATGAATTCTGCACTTGAAGATGGAGTTATAGTTAAACATATCTTGTGTTGAAGAGCCTAATGCCAGTTGACATATGCCTTTTGGAAGGTTTACAGGCTAAATACAGTGTTCACTCTTTTGATTTTCCTTCATAGCTGTTTGAGGCCTGAAAAATCACTGCAACTATGCTATTGACAGAATGTTTGGATCTGAGGATCTTATCTTGAAAAGATCATTGCCTTCAGAGAACATTGTATTAAACATTTCCTACCATGTTATGAAGGATTATCATGCATAATGAAAATGCCAAGTGACAAAATAAGCCAATGAAATGGTGCAGAATTCTTGATTTTACTTGTTTGTGTATTTAATTACAAAATTCAGTAAGGCAGATGGATGCAATTCAACTGTGCTTTTTCAGAAGGTACTGGCTTCATGAATACTTTTGGCAGACATTTTCAAAGTCCCTGACAAGCTTTCATTAGGTAAATCATAGTGCACTATAGAAGGATTGTTAGCTATCTTTTTGTCCTGTCGTTCCAAAAAACAGCTGGAAATAGATTAAGCTCAATCAAGAAAGTTCAAATAGATTGAGCAATTGTTTTGATTAATAGCACAATATGAGGTCCTTCTTGTGTCAATTCTATGAAAGCTATCTAAAAGCTAAAAATTTTGATAGTTGGAGCGCTACGATTTCAGTATGAAGGATAGGGTACAATAACAAAAAATGAAAAACTAGTCCTGCATAGTGAAAGCATAAAATTTCCAAAGCTTTGAATGCAGTAGTGTAGTGTAACTGGGGAAAGGAGGGGCAAGTGGGGCAGCAGCCCCAGGTGCCACCTTTGGGGGGGGAGGGGGGCACAAAAATAGCCTCTGCTGGCAGTACAGCAGCTGGTACACATCTGTGTGCCACCTTTGCCCAGGGCACAGAACTGCCTTACTATGTCTGTGTTTGAACAGATTAAAAAGTTTTCAACTTTCTAATAAAACTTTATTTTTCAAAACATGTTGAATGCTTAATTCTCATTGGCTGACAAATTACTTTTTCAGCAAATGAAAAATAAATGTCACTGAATCAAAATGCAAGATAGAAATCAGAGTCTGTGCTTTTTTATTGTTTTATTAGAAAGCTGAGAAATCTAATGCTCAAAAAGTATGTGAACATTGATTAGTTTTCCTGCTTGTCTATACACCTAAGTTTTTTTTATAATGTATATGTGCCACTTAAGCAAAGATGATTAGAATAGCTTGTCAAGCCTTTTCATATCATGTTGTCCAATAATATTTGACTATAAAGTATAGCTATTTACTTTCAAGTTTCCAGGCTCTTTTATTCTGCCTCAGCTAAGTTGAGGAACAGGTTATGTAGGCAAGAGAAAACAAGGAACAAATGCAGTAGTAGCACACATGCTATGTAATAACCCTGTGTTTCCTCACTGAGTAAATTGGTGTTGAGATCTTGTAAGGCTTACTGGTAAGTTTTACAAATGTTTGTGATAAATCCCATGATAACTGTGCAATGGCCATGTGTCACTACTGTCATTATAATACTGGCTAGTCTAATGCAGCTTCCATGTGTATATAAATATATACATATGTAGACATATGTGTTTGTGCATGTATGTATATGTTTGTAGATATGTATTTTATCTTTGACTTGTGTTTATAATATCTCTCTATGAAATATGTTAATTAAAAGGGCATGCAGTGGTGTCTTCTGAAGGAAGAGGAAGTCCTTCCCCGTATCAGGGCCATGGAAGGGCGTAGAGGACGACCACCAAATCCAGATAGACAACGTGCTAGAGAGGAATCAAGAATGAGGCGTCGCAAAGGCCGACCTCCAAATGTTGGTAGTGCTGAATTTCTAGACAACAGTGATGCCAAGCTGCTAAGAAAGTTGCAGGCTCAAGGTAAGAAATGTTCCACAAGAAATAACTTCCACAAGCTGAATGTAACCACATGAGTAGAAAATTGATGTTTGGAATTCCTAAAGGCAAGTATTATGTGTTTATACTCCTGTACATGCTTAAGTCTTGCATCTGGGAATATTGTCCAAAGCTTTCATTGGACCTTCTTCTGTTTAAAGTCAAGCCAGTGTAAATTTGCATCCAAGAGAGGTGTCTATGTATAAATTTAAAATGGTTGGGCAATTTTAATTTTATTTATTTGGATTTATAAAACACAGTAAATAGCACTTGTTAATGACAACTGTTTTTTAAATGCACATGAATACACAGACTATTCAGTTCCCCAACATCACCCCAGATACTTGGCACCAGCAAAAATATAAATAAAATTAATTAGCCCTCACACGCAGTGTGCAGAGTCCTACCTCCAACCTTACTACTTTGCCATTTTCATATGAGGAGGGAGAAAAGATGGGCTTTACAGGGCTGTGGGAAGAGAATGATGACAACAAAGAATATTACCCCTTTTTCTCTTTTTTGTCCCCTTTTATCTTGGCTGTTACTGTTCTTGGCACATTTTTTTCCTCATTTGACAAATGAATTCTATTGGAATCTTGATTAAAATTACTTAACAATTTTTTGTTACAGTAAATGTGTTAACAAAACAAAAAAAACTTATCTTGCTGTAAATATATAATGGCTTCTTCTGATGTTTAAACACTCTAAATCTAATAAGATAACATAGAATTATGCCTGATAGTTATGGAATTGTAAGCCATTGAAATGAGAGTTTCGGTAAAGTTGGTGGGTACCCCAGTGTAAACTCCAGTCTGTTAACTCTATGAAGACAAGATTTTAATACTCTTAAATAATATCTTGCACCACAGTTACTTCCATTGTAACCATTGAGACTATTAGTAACAAAGTAAGGCTGTCCAGCTGGTGACATGCGTTGGATTAACATGTGGCCTCCAGGCTTATACCAGAATGCTGCTGCCCTTTGCTTTAGCAGCAACAGCAGCAGCAGCTGAGGTCTTGGTGCTTTCCTTTCCTCCCACAGCTTCTGCTGCATATCCCCTCCCCAGGGAGTGGGGCAGTGCAGCACAATGCAGCTTGCAGTGCTGGGTAGCCAAGAGCTCCTGTACAGCATAGTGCCACTGGGGAGCCTGTAGGGAA